CGAGACCTGTCTTGAAGCTATGGATATTTCATTTCAAGATAATCTACATGAAAAGTCAAAGCAAAGCTTTTTATTTCATTGAATGTTGTTGCCACGGTGATGTACTGTTTAGAGAATGGCTACTCGCACCTTTTATATCTTTTAGACTGTATTTTACCCAGTTCTGTTTTACCCATGTCTCAGAGAATCGGCAGGCATAATGAACAGTCCGTGCCCTGCAAAAAAAAAAAAAAAAATGGAAGCCATACCCCGAACCTAACGGGAAAAATCACAGTTTTTGATTCCCTTTCAAAATGTGTCATCTTTTAAAGGGTTTACCTGAAGTGTTACTGTTCATCAATGCTGCTGCCATTGCGACACACTTGTTTGGCAAGAAAACTGTTGTTTTTGAAGATCTAAAAATCCCAAAACTCACCAGATATTTTATCTTTGAAAGTGCTTAAAAGTGTGCCGTTTTTTTTCGCGAGCGGTGAATCTTGGACAAGTTATTTGGTTTGCAAGCTATGTTCATGAACCGATCATATATGCACATGTGCAGCTGCAGATATTGTGTATGAGGCATTATTTCCTATGGGTTTGTGTCTGGTGCCAACCAAACCTAAACAGGAGAAAAAAAGCATACAGTAAATGCAAGAAGAAAATTAATTTATTAATTTTAACCCTTGTTCACAAAAGACTGTCAAACGGCTTCACGGGCAATGATTGGCAACAGGTAAGGATCCAAACATGCGTGAAAAAACACGAAACACACATCAGGCCTGACCACAAAAAAATGTAAGAGGTTTATTATGCTATTAAAAATAATAATAAATGCCAATGGGCTTGTATTTCAATGTCCCAGTACCCCAATGTGGCCCGGGCTGCGAGGGCCCTTCAGATTGTCAGGAAAACAGAATTTTGAACATCACCAATTACAACAACCCGATCAGAGATGAAAGTCCTCCGGATTTTCCCAGAATTCCGGATTTTCAAATTTTAATGAAAATTTCTCCGGAGAATTGAGGAAAATTGCCTAAAATGAATCCGGATATTAGTTGACAACATTGAATGAACACGCGTTTGAGTTTGTTGTTTTGCTTTCACGAGCGTAGCCATGTTGAGGCACTAACACCAGTAACAGTAAAGAGATTTTTGTCTCTTTATAAACACACTTGGTAAATCCCAGTGGAACGAATAAAAGATGCTGTGGACAAGACAGTTGTTGTCGTAAAAAATATATTTGGATGAAAAGGGAAACACACAAATTGGCAGAAAAACGTGTCCGTCCGACTTCGAGTTTCGTCTCGGCTAGCTTAGCTTAGCTGTTGTCGTGTGTGACCTCGGTTGCGTCGGCGCTGATTGTTTGAAATCAAAAGAGGCGCTTGCGTACATGTTCGCGCTGACGCACGCACAGCAGAGAGCAGCGGACTATCTACTGCTGAGGCGCGCTTCGCTCGAGTGGCGTCGCCACAACAGTAATACCCTCGCCTTGCATTCTCATGGCCTCGCCATATCTTGGGGATTTTGAAATTTCGGCGAGAACGGAAGCCACAAAGGGTGCATGTGTGCACACAAAAGGAAGATTAATCATTGAATGTCGAGTATTTGAATAGCATTTTGTGTAAACTAATTCATGCGTGATCTGCCAGGTCAATCAGTGCGCGTGTGTGTGTGTGTGTGTGTGTACATGTATATGTAAATATATATATATATATATAAATTTTTTTATTTTTTTTTCCGGAATTTTCAGGAAAGTCCACTTTCATCGCTGAAAAGTGAATAACAATGAATTGCCACTCTTGGGCATCTCCCAAATCCCTACTTTTCAAGTACCGTATTTTCACGACTATAAGGCGCCATTAAAAGTCTTAAATTTTCTCCAAAATGTACAGGACGCCTTATAATGCGGAGCGTCTAGTGTATGTGCCTAGTTCCAAAGCCTGACTGAGAAGCACCTCTGGCCGACACGCTTTTATACAGAGAAAAGGCGGGCGTGAGTGACGACAGGCATGCGGAAGTTCGCCAATGAGTGAAGGGTGGGCGTGTAAGAGGACGCTAAAGGCACGCCCCTAGCAGGTACCAGTCGCGTGAGTACGTTGTAAAATGGCTAAATAAAGTACAATCGAACTCAGTTTCTCTTCCGTTGCCTTTTTAAAAACGTGTGTTTGGCGTGTGTCCCTATGTCTTAGCTGCTACCGTATGCTTTAAGCTAACATACCTGGTATGTTTTAGCGTGCATGCATGCTACCGTATGCTTCAAGCTAACGTGTTTTTAGCGTGCGTGCATGCATGCCGTATGTTTAAGCTGCCGTATGTTTTACCATGCCTGGCTGCGCCCAATAATACAGTGCGTTTTGTGTATGTGTCAAATACAGAAATAGCACCCGTTACTGAGACTGCGCCCAACTATACGGTGCGCCGAATGGTCGTGAAAATACGGTACGCAAAATAACTAATGTGTTACAATGTCAATGATTGCAATGTAAAATAACTGGTTATGTCGTCATCCTCCCAAACTGTATTTCAAAAGTCTAAGAGTCATGAGTAATTAAAAAAAAAAAAAGGAGTGAGGTGACTCGACAGTGTAATAAATGGAAATAATCTGAAAAAGGAGTGGGGTGACTCGACAGTGTAATAAATGGAAATAATCTGCATGCAAACGTCCCATTGTGGCTGACCAGTTCTTTCTGCACTAAAGCATTGCACTGATCCATGTTTAACAATATATTATTGTTGATGATTTCTGTTGTGTGTTCAGTGGTATCATTATTTTATGTTAAGTATTCTGTAATGCGCTTTATTAGAGCTGTTGTGAAAACACTGTATAATTAAAGATGGATTGTATTTATTTATTTTTTTAAATGTCCTGGTTTGCATTATTTCCTTCACCACAAAAAAATGCTTGCGGCCACATCTCTGGTCAGCTGCCTTGACAATGGAGACATGGAATATGGCCCTCTCAGACTCAACGTCCCCCACCTTCCCTGTGCCTATGAAAAAAGTTCTGCTGGAGGTGGGAGTTGAAACTCCTAATATGAGACTCTGCTAGACCCTCACAATAATTTTGGGTCTGTTAGGTCGGACCGGCATCTCCCCCTACCATTAGAGCCAACACACCACCAGGTGATGATCTGTTGAAAGCTCCGCCTCTCTTTTCACATGAGTGTTGAAGATACAAGTTCAATGACACAACCATAAAATCAAGCATCAAACTGCAGTCGAGGGTAGGGTTGTATGGGGGAGCACCAAGGAGACCCAAGCTGTTACTGATGTATGACAGAGTTCAGTGGTGGATCAACTACTGACTTTAGCAATAGTCATTGGGAGTTGCAATCTTCTCCATTATTTGTGGTGGTGAAGAATTGTTCATTTGGCAGTGTAACCTTCAGTCCATCTGGGCAGCAAAAAATGGAGGCGTCGGCTTTGACAAGCAAGTCGTGGTCCAGCATGTTCAGGTTCATGACAGTCTTTCGGTGAGGAGGAGGAGTCAGAGCTTGTTGATCATAGTCTGATTGTTGAACAGGCAGATGCTGGCGGCTCAGACATTCCAGTGTCCAATGGTTTACATCACCACAAATGAAACTGCCAGCTTGGTTCCAAAGACCTCCCCTTCCACGCCCACCTCCCCCCACAGCCATGCTGTCTTTGCCTCGCCTTGTGGGCCTGGAGCTTAGGTGGAGGTGGGGTCAGCCGTGGTGGAGCCTGTTTAGAGACAGTAATTCACATTAGATTAGATTTTCCCATTTTCTCCCCTTTTTAAAACTCATTCAGTACCAGCCAATTCTGGACCAAGTCTGAAAAGACGTTTAAAAACGTCTTTCGGAGTGAATGAGTTAAATATTTATTTTGCATGCATTACTGGAGACCCTTGGCCTCTTGTAAGTGCAGTTAGTCGTTCTGTAGCTATGATGTTTTCTCAGTCACTTTCTTGGCTTTGATTCGGGATTGCTGCACATAAAATAAGAAATGAGTTCGCCAGTTGGCGTCATCTGAGGTGGGTTCTGGTACCAAGTGCATGTATGGACACCCTGTTGTTTGAACGTGTTCACTATAGACAATCCGTGATGAGCGCAGAAGTCCAGTAACAGAACACCGCTTGGGTTCTGACCAGGTGGGGTATTCCTCCTAATCACGCCCTCCTAGGCCTCACTCTTATTGGTGGTATTGAAGTCCACAAGCAAAACAATGGAGTCCCCAGCGGGAGTTCTGGGGTCGGGTCGAGGGGCAACGACTTTAGCAGTCCCCAATGACAGTCCCCAACAACTCCAAAAAGGGTGGGTAATCCGAATTGTTATTTGATGCATAGGCGCAAACAACAGTTCAAACCCGTAACCCCACCCAAAGGAAGAGGAGGGCTACCCTCTTGTCCACAGGGGTGAACCCCAATGTACAGGCACCAAGCTGGGTAACAAAAAGCATGCCCACACCTGCTCAACGCCTCTCTCCGTGGGCAACCACTGAGGGGAGATGACTGGTACCAGAGTCCAAGCTATGCGTCGAAGGGAGCTCGACTTTGTCTTGTTGGAACTTCTCAACCTTGCATACCCAGCTCATCTGTGTCAGGACAAGGAAAAGCACCTTCATGATTATTACTCAGCCTAGGGGGCTTTCGAGTCTGGTCCCTCACTAAAGGACCTATTTGGCATGGGATACCCTGCCAAAAACCCCAGACAACCTAGCTCCCAAGATCATTGGGACACACAAAACCCCACCACCATGATAAGGTGATGGCTCGGGGGAGGGTGGTTTAGCCACAACAAATTGATAATACTGTAAATGCAAGTTGATATCATTTTCCTGATCAAAAAATACATAGTTTTTCCATGAAAATGGGCCATCTTGGCCGGATGATCCCTTTTTAAATGCTAAAATATATGAAATAAAAAGATAAATGACTTTGCTAAAGAAAATAACTCCACAATAGCTTGACAGCACTAACTCCCTCTTCAATTTGTCTTCGTATGAATCGATTTTGTGCAAGACTGTGCTCTCTAATTTTTCTGTTTGTTCTCATCTCACAGCCCAGCACAATCCACTAAAGGTTCATGAAGGCTGGTGGGCATATAAGGAGGTGGTACAGGGAAGCTTTGTTCCAGGTAAGATTCAAATAAGTAAAACATATCCATTCATTCGTCCATTTTGTAATTGCTTACTCCGGGGCCACCCGTGAGCTGAACCACAACGGACTTCGGGCAAGAGGTGTGGTACACCGTAGACTGAGTGCCAGACAATCACAGGGCACAAATAAATACGTATTGAGAACTCACATTCACACCTCTGGGCATTCCCCATCCATCAGTGAGAGAAATTATTATAATTCAGATACTACTGACATTGGACATTTGATTTTCTTGTCGTCGTAGTTGATGATTTTCAAAAGGGTGCCACACATTGCGCAATGCTTCTGAACCCGACTTGGCCTGCACCATGACAGAAAATGAGAGATGCTCACTCAATTTGATTTGATGTATGGGTGTGGTGTAAATTGAACTGTCTGAGCCTGTATTGAGTACTGAGGCTTCCCATACTCGACATTGGACTACACCGCTTTTTTTTAAATCCTGTGTCAATCAAGGAAGTTGCATAAAGGTTCAGAAAGAGGAGGTGGGGAGGAAATAAGGGAAAGTGCGTATTTATTGTAAGGTGGGGCTCGTTAACATTCACTTAAATGTGCCCTGTACAGGATGTACCACTCATTTACATTTTTACCACATGCTTTGCTATTTCATCCACATATTTGACATTATAAATATGGTTAATAGCAGATGAAAAAGTTGCCTTCATCACATCAATTTTTTTTTTTTTTTCCATAAACCACAGCGTGTGAAGTGAATCAGCCCAGGTAGTCATAATGACCTCCAAAAAAGTGGGAAGAACCAATCAATCTGGAGGCCACACCCAGAGCAGCAAGTGCCCATTCTAGAAGATCCAAAATATCTGAAAATATTTAGAAAGACGATATTGTATTTGGATACACATGCACACATCCAATCAACAAAACCAATGACACCGATCATTTCAGGTCAAAGTCAATATTTAGTCCATGACGAGTTAAGGTCTTAAACATGTGGATCCAGTGCTATCTTCTCGATAGGATAATTGGTAACTGATGATGTATTATGAGATACGGTGCCTCTGATTGGAATTTTATTTTTACCTCAAAGAGGATTTTTAAAGCTGTCACAGCGATACATTGACTGCAACTGTCACAACAGAATGTACCCGTCTTATCTCTGAAGTTCCTTTCTCATTTGTACACTACCAAACTGTGCTCCTCAAAAATGTCACTTAAACGTGGGTCAGATTGTAAAATAGGGCAATGATTAATTATAATGTTCTTGAATTTTTCAGTGCCTTTTGAATAGACTGTCAAGAACATTGTACAATTGCTTGGCTTTATAATTGGGTTAGCCTTCAGAAGATCCAACGTCAATTTGCATTTTATTTTGTTGACATCATTCCGAATACATTTTTTAGAGCCCCTTTGTTCAAAATTCATCCTCATTGTGTTAAAATTTGTATGAAAGTCTTCATTTTATTTGGACATATTCTTTTTACCCTTCAAAACTGACTCTATGGAAGACTGTTTTTCAGTCAGCCAATTCTGCATTTATTTGATCCAAAGGTCCAAAAGGCTTATTAATCGTTGATGATAGTCTGTAGAAAATGATAAAACTGCGGCCTAGGGTGTCTTGGTGCCAAGTGCCCATATGGATAGCCATATGTAGTTGTGGCATCGGGTTTAGGGCAGCATGTTTTGGACATTCGGGTGAAGAGAGGGGTGAAATGAGTTTTCTCCGCAGGGTGTCTGGGCTCTCCCTTAGAGATAAGGTGAGAAACTTGGCCATCCGGGAGGGGCTCAGAGTTGAGCCGCTTCTCCTCGACATCGAGAGGAGTCAAATGAGGTGACTCGGGCATCTGATTAGGAAGGATGCCTCCCTGGTGAGGTGTTCCAGGCATGTCCCACCGGCAGGAGGCCTTGGGGACGACCCAGGGCACGCTGGAGATGTCTCACAGCTGGCCTGGGAATGCCTCAGGATACTCCGGGAAGAGCTGGAACAAGTGGCTGGGGAGAGGGAAGTCTTGGCTTCCCTGCTAAAGTCGTTGCCCCAGCGACCCGACCCCGGATAAGTGATAGAAAATGGATGGATGGATGGATGGGTTGATGGGTGAAGAGAGGGGCACAGCTGTCAAATGATCAACACCTGATGGTGTGTTGGCTCCAATGGTGGGGGAAGATGCCAGTCCGACCTGGCAAAGCCAAACATATTGTGAGGGTTTGCTGTGAATGTCTGGCAGAATACCGTCAGAAAGAGTTTCCCCACACCCAGCAGAACTTTGCCCACATCATTAGGGGGGGAGGGGACTTTGAGTCCAAGTGGACCTTGTTCCATGCCTCCATTGTTGAGGCAGCTGTGGCCGAAAGGTGGTCGGTGGTTGTTCTAGAAGCAATCCTCATAGTCACAGGTGGACCCCGGCAGTAAGGGATGCTGTCAAGCTGAAGAAAGAGTCCTATCGAGCATTTTTGGCCTGTGGGACTCCAGAGGCAGCTGACAGATACCGGCTGGCCAAGTGGAATGCATCTTCGGTGGTTGCTAAGGCAAAAATTGGAGCGTGGGAGCACTTTGGCAAGGATAGTGGAGATGGAGTGGTGCTGACCTCGACTTGGCATGTTGTGAGTCAGTGGGGAGAACACTTTGAAGACCCCCTCAATTCCATTGACACGACTTCCTTTAAGGAAACAGACCCTGGAGACTCTGAGGTGGGCCTGCCTATCTTTGGGGTTGAAGTAACTGAGGACAGTTAAAAAGGTCCTCGGTAGAAAGCCCCAGGGGTGGATGAGATCTGCCCAGAGTTCCTAAAGGCTCTGGATGTTGTAGAGCTGTCCTGGTTGACACCCCTCTACAACATCGCATGGACATCCGATACATTGCATCTTGTTTGGCAGACGGGGTAGTGGTCCCTCTTTTCAAAAAGGGGGGCCGGACTGTGTGTTCCAATTACAGAACAGTCCCACTCCTCAGCCGCCCTGGTAAGGTCTATTCAGGGGCTTTGGAGGGGAGGGTCCATTGGAAAGTCAACTCTCAGATTTAGGAGGAGCAGTGTGGACGGCCCGGTGGTCGACTGGTTAGCACGTCGGCCTCACAGTGCAGAGGTGTAGGGTTTAATTCTGGCTTCGGCCTTCCTGTGTGGAGTTTGCCTGTGTGGGTTTTCTCCGGGTACTCCGGTTTCCTCCCACATTCCAAAAACATGTGTGACAGGTTAATAGAACAATTGTCCCTAGGCGTGAGTGTGAGCGCGGCTGGTGGTTTATCTAAGTGTGCCCTGCGATTGGCTGGCAAGCAGTTCAGGGTGTACCCTGTCTACTGCCCGAAGACAGCCGGGGTAGGCTCCAACCCGCCCCGCGACCCTTGTGAGGATAAAGCCGATCGGAAAATGGATGGATGGATGGAAGGAGGAGCAGTGTTTTAATCCCGGTGTTGGAACAGTGGACCAGCCCTACACCTTCGGCAGGGTTCTTGAGGGTGCAGGGGAGACTAAAAAGTCAACGTGTTTTGTGGACTTGGAGAAGGTGTTCAACCGTGTCCCTCGGGGAGTTCTGTGGCCGGGGTGCTTCGGGAGTATGGAGTACCGAACCTCCTGATAAGGGCAGTTCAAGTATCTTGGGAGTATTGTTCACAAGTGAGGGCAGGAAGGAGGATGAGATTAATAGCGCGTCCTTAGCGAAAACTCCACCTGCTGCCACTGGAGGCATAAATTGCAGGCCAAGACTACAAATAGGTCTCCTGGAGCCATACTGTAAACCAGCAGTGCCCAAGCAGTTGATCGCAGTCAACCTGCAGTCCGCGGACAGGTCCCAGGTCGACAGGGAGGAGTCCAGGGAGTAATGGGGAATAAAAACATTTATGTATCTGTGCGTTGCAATTATTATACATTTTTGTGTCAGTGTACACTGCATCCTATCAATGTCACGTACACAAAGTATTAAAAATGTTTTTTTTAAAGTAGGTCACCCTTAACGTACTGAGCATGACCAGCATCACCGTTAAGTTGTTCGTGGTCAGCAGTCTGGAATTGCAGCTAGTGATCAGAGCTGTTGAGTGATATCTATTTTTTTATTTATTCATATCCAAGGGGGCGCGAGGAGCCGTCAAGGGGGCCGCATTTGACCTCGAGGAACATGCTTTTTTATTTTGATTTTTTTTTTTAATGTTCTAGAATAAAGTTCAATTGCACCTCCACTGCATTAGGGGGCAGTGACACTCTCATTGGCAGAGTGTGCGCAGGGAGCATTCGCTCGGTGTTTTGTTTGCACTGAGCATACGCGCTTTGCACACAGCTCAGATTTGCACTGAGCATGTGCGCTTTGCACACAGCTCAGAGTATGAGTATGAAGTGCAGACACAAAGTGGACAGGCGGAGAGAGACGGAGAAAAGAGAAGGTCTCCCGAAAGCTAAGACGAGGAAATATGACGAAGCGTATGTTGCGCTTGGCTTCACTGTGACTACGGTGGTAGACGAGGAAAGACCGGTGTACCTACTGTGTCTAAAAATGTTGGCAGCGGACAGCATGAAGCCAAATAAATTAAGGTGTCATTTAAAGACATTACACCCCAATCACGCTGAGCCGCTTGTTTTTTTTCAGCGAAAACGTGCCGAATATTGCCAACAATCATCCCGCTTTGTGACTGCTATTTGTAGCCATTAATCCAGACATCGTCTTTGATTAAAAAAAAAAAAAATCAGCACAAACTATTTTAGATCTTTTTGTTTTGCAGGTTTTCATATCGTGCTCCTGAATTAATGTTGGTGATCAGTTTTAATTATTTATTAAATTTATGGAATTTTACTTTTCAGTATTGTATGGTTTGACATGGTCAGTCAAAAAATGTTTATAGTTTAATGAAGGATTTAATTTAATTTTTGAATTTCAGATGCACTTTAAATCTTTTCTGTTACAGTTACTAAAGCTATTCTTTGTTGTAAGTTGGTCCATATTTCTTTCTTTTTTTATTCTCTTCTACGTGAATAAGGATACAGTGTTATGCAAAGGTGTACTTATAACAATTTTATAGACAAATGATACCCACATGGT